AAATAGGTGTCTACTACTGAAGAGATCGCCTGTACATTTGTAAAAACATTATCAATTTTGGTTCTCGAGTATGAACTTATTCTTGTATAGTCATTTACTATCGATTTTAGTCCAAACTGTTCAGTGATATTCAAAATACTATCGGCCTCTATAGATGGGGAACTGAAGTCAATGTTGAAATATCCACTTCGAGTTTGTATAAGAAATATTGGAAATTACTGGTAGGTGATCTATAAATGGAAAATATTTTATGGGCTTTGAAGCCTCCACCACAGACCTCAAAGTTTATTTCAGTACATATATGATCTAGAGAGATGGAAGTTGCTTCATAACCTTTCTTTGCCCATAATGCAGTGCTCCCTCCTCGATATGTGCTACGACAAACTTGGTTAGAAAAATGATATCAAGGTATGTTAACAGGTGTTGTTAAAGAGATTAAATGAAAACATTGATAATATGCAAGGCATCTATAATCATTCTATTATTCTTGAAAATGGACTTAATATAATATTCCTCAAATTACACACTTTTCCTACACAATAACAAAATACTGTTCCTCAACGCACGTTTCGCAAATCAAGTTATCAACCTCAGGAAAAAGACACAGACTACGTCTAACAGCTATGTTAATGTATTTTAAAATAAAAAAAAACATTAATCAATTGAGAAACCATTTAAATATTGAAAAAACATCCAAAAATAAAATATATTAACATAGCTGTTAGAAGTAGTCTTTGTCATCTCCTGTAGATACTGATTTGGTTAGGGAAACGCATGTCCAGAGAGAGTATTATGTTCTGGAGAAGGAAGAGTGTTTTCAATAAATTACTTCTAAAATATTACCATTAGAGATAGTTAATTCCGGAATAGATTTAACTACCTGAAAACAGCAGATATAATACTTAATTCGCTATTACAAACAGGTAAAAATAAGTATAAACACGTCAACAAATTAATGGCTGAAAATGAAAGAAAATCAATAAAAGAGTGTTATTCAAAATAATTTCATCGTTTATTTAATAATGGGAACTATTGAATTTATAGAATTCCTTACTTTCCAGAAAGTCAGGTTTCGAATTTTTCTTCTGGAAATGAAATGTTTTGAATTCATGATTGAACCCATGTCCCTCTGTATGGAGGTGAGTAGCATATGTAAAATCAATGTTTCCATTCTTGAAACTGTTTCTATGTTCTTTAACGAGTGCTTTGAATGTTCCTCCAATTTTACTTATGTAAAATATCAAACATGAATCACACGACAATTTGTAAACTCCTGAACAATCTTTTACCAAACTCTTGTTTGTTATTTTTGATATGTATGCTCAAGTTATTATTGATGCTGCTATTATATAGCAAAACACTTTTGCGTGGTTTTGTAAACCTTCCATAATAAAATCACAGTAAACTGTATTAGTAAGTTTTCTTTGCATATGCAAATTTCTATTTTGTAAATAATCGAAAAATTTCAGCTGTTGTTTTCAAAGTCAATCTTGATTCCACAAGCTAAAATAAAGTCGAAATCACCATGTTTGAATCCATGAGAGTTTTAGAACACCCTACAAAGTGCTTTTAAATTGGCGCACCTGTCACCTGTTAACAATTGTTATTTTAACAATACAATATCTGGTAATTTTTAAAGAATAATGATGGATATTCTTCAGATTTACAAAAATACCAAACCTTATAGAAATATTCAACCCAAAATTATTCAAAAACGTTACCTGTGAATTATTGGCGAAACTCATGTTTTGAATATCATCAAAATTTGATATTTGTCGTGTCATATAAGAATCTGGAGCTTTAAAATTCGGATAATAGTCAGGATATGGATAATCCTGTTTCATATGAACTTCAGGATTGTAATAAAATGGCATCCCTGGCCAGGGAGGATATCTATAATTTTCAGGGGGTCCAATGGGTGAATAAGGGAAATGGTTGGGATCTGGTCTGAAGCTGTCATTTAGACTCCTGTAATATTCTAAGTTTGGGTATGATCTGGGATAGTGAACATTCATGTTTTGTGTATTGCAAGGCATCATTGTCTGCATATGACCAGAAATCATAGTCTCAGTAGGTCGAGACAATTTTTGAGAACCGTATTCTGTCAAGTATCTCGGATCCTGCAACGGATAAACTGAAGTATTCACTGAATATTCTGGTGCTATCGATGGCTGAATCAGTGATGAATTATTATAAATACGGCCAGCCTGAGTAGGATGCATCATGTTGTCCTCGTATCTATCTGGGAAATTTATTTGATGTGATGAATTCTGATCATACGTCAATGGTCTGTTTTGAGACAATACTGAGTTACGCATTTCTCTGGAATCTACAAAACTATTGGAAAAAGTTTTCCTTAAAGCTTCCGATTCTAACATATCTTGAGATAAAGTAAAGTTTTTTGGGCTTCTAATAATTTGAGAAAGTGATGAATTCCTAGAAACTGAAATGTCTTCCTTTGGAATATTTTCCTTCTCACTGTTTGATGGAGATGAAGATTTTCGTTCAAATGATCCTGTCTTCTCATCAGATTTGTCTTTTTGAGCTATGGATTGATTCACAAACTGAGTATAATAATCTGTAGCCGAGGAAGGTTCACATTGTTTATATCTTTTTGGAGTATTTTTTTTCTGTTCTTCAATTAAATGGCTTCCTAAAATTGAAGATGAAAAAATGTCTGAATAATCCAAACTTCTGTCTGCTTCTTTGGATTTTAAATTCTCCACACAATAATCATTGTCGCAAAGAGGAAATTTTGTTCCACGATGTTTGTAATTTTGGAAAATATTCTGATTATTTTTGGGTTGTCTTGGTGTCTTTTGTATGTTCTGTGTTGAATTTGGACCGTTTCTTGAGTTTTTTGATAACACAGAAGTGTTCAACGTTTCGTTAAATCTGTAAAATAAAATAATTGGTGAATAGTGTGACATTAATTCTCATGCTTCTCATGAGTAATGGTTTTGTGCACTAGCTGTTTCTCAGTAACCTTTTTATGTATGCAGATGACTCTACTCTTTTGTTACAGGACAAAAACTTAAGCGTCATAGAACGTAAGTCAGAGGAAACATAATTGAAAATGGAAAACTCTTCAAATTCAAACGTTATGTCCCTAAACAAAAATAAAACACAGAACACACTTTCACGACAAATAGGCAAGCGCTCGACGATGAAACAACAGTTAAGCTATTGGGTTTTCATGTTGATGCTCAACTGAATTGGAAAGTACATATAAATGAAATTAAAAAAAGCTATCCAAGGCTCTATTTGTTTTGAGAAATCTCAGGGAAGTACTATTTAGCAAAGTATTGAAGACTGTTTACTATGGCATGGTACATTGCCATCTTGTATATGGGGTTCTATTGTGGAGAACAAGCCCGGCTTGTCGTCAACTATTGGTGGGCCAAAAGAAAATTATAAGAACCATGGCCAATTTGGGCAACAGAGCACAAGCCAAGCCAATTTTTATTGAAATGAAAATCTTGACATTACCTTGTATATATAATGGAGGCAATTCTATGGATACATCAAAATAAAGATAAATATATTTCGGGAATAGATCTTCATGGACATGATACACGAAATAAAAATCAATACAGAATGTCAGAAGTAAATAAGGAAAAAACAAAAATACAAACTGAATATTTGCCAATGAAACTGTACAACCAAATACCAGTGGAATGAGTGATATAGATATCGAATAAAACAGTTTTAACTCAGCTTGTGTTAGGGATATTTTGGTGGTTTTCAAAGAAATATTGTAGAGATCTACTATGCAACAATGACGCATTAATAAAAAGCACATACTAAGGATCATGTCCAATAATGAGAAAAAAATAATTAACAGTAAAAAAATATTTGAGTACAAGCACTGAAAAGAAGAAAATGAACTTCAAATCAAACCAATTAACCACACAGGCCAACCCGAACGGCTACCGTTCCTCTTGTATATGATATGAAAGCTGGTCGTGAGATTCATCTATGTAGAAACAAGAATACAATATGCAACTTTTAATAAGAATGATTGATTCTGAGAAAAAACTTATGGTTTTTTATAAAATAGGTAAATCTAGTGATGAGCTTTCACCTCATATTTGTGTAATGTAATAAATTAATGGATTTGATTTGAACTTTAATTTATTCGTTTCAGTGTTTGAAAATAAAAAAATCGTACTTAGAAATGTTATCAAAAACTATGAAATAATTGCATAACATACATGAAAACAATACAAATAAAAAATGCGACTTTAACCTTCAGAGTAATATACCTACTACGTAAAACCAACGCAAAAGCAACCTTTCTTCATAACGCGGATAACAGCGGTTAGGGTGCTTGAAAGTATTTTCTCGAGACATAATTTTAATTTTGCTTTTTTTTCTGATTGATTCGGCCGTTACTTGATAAAGATCCACAGTAATTTCATAAACTACACCTTACGATTTAATCTTCAAACATTATTTTTAAAAATATATCATATATATTTCGACATGATTCACTACGAAATAGCTACTGATGGCGAAACATGTCGTGATATATGTGATATATTTTTGAAAATAAAGTTTGTGAAGATCAAATCGTGATGTGTAGTTTATAATATTAATTTTGCGATAACTCCTTAGATGTTAATTTGAATTTTATGATGTAAAAGACAATAATGATGTGCATGGAATGCTCAAGATAACTGACGTATTTATTTGATAAGGATTAATATCGACCTTTGTCGAATGTTCTGAATGAACCAAACAGCGATATGTCAAATCGATTGTTTCTACGATATCTCCTGAAGAACTCCGATATTCTACACAATCGGATTTGATCAAAAGTAGAAAACGAACTACTGCCAGTATTTTTGGTCAAGTCAATGAATACTATAAAACTATACTATACTATAATATATGATGCATGTTTCATGGTAAGTCATGTATAATAAAGTTATATTTTTTCAAAAAGGGATCTTCCATCATTGATATTCATATATTTTAAATAATACAAAAGTAACATATCAATTTCTCTTGAAGGATTTGATTTTTGTCAACCTAATTAGGCTCAATTTCTGTGTGTGTGCAGTGTTACAGGGCAGAGGCTGTGTTGCAATATTCCCATTATACATATTTTTTGGAACTCAATAACCTTCTTCACGCTATTATTATAATGCCTAGTGTAATCGTTTGAATTCTTATTGTATATTTGCATTTATTTAGCAAAGTGACCCATATTACCACGAGTTCTGGAAATGAAACTGATTTTGGAATAAAAAAAAGATTAATTCGACACAATATTATTGTCTTGATTGGCATGTTACACATAATATTGAAAAATTTTACACTCACATATTATTCTGAGCTCCGATATCATTTTCTTTGAATAATTGACCAGAAAAGTTCATTTTCGGAGAGAATTTCACTGCAGGTGACATAACCAAAGGAGATCTCCACTTTATACTTTTTTGGTTTTCCTTCTCCTTTCCCATCCTCTCTCTACCAATATCCGCTTCAAAATCGTATATACTTGCCTTCTTATTAGGTTCTAAGACTTCTGTAATGGTGTACTTCTGGTTACTTATCGTCGAATTTGGATAAAGATCTGTTTGAGGGTAATGGTTAATTTTTTTTCGGTTTGGTTTTTTGAATTCATTCAGGATCACCTTCTTTTCTTCCCTCTGGAAGTAATGGTTAGTTACCTAATAGCACTTGACAGAATTAATGTATTATTAAAATAGAATTTCCCAAAAATATCTGCTTTGAAACAGAATTAACATTATAATCCATAGAAAGGATTTTTAGACACACACTTATAACAATGTAATACAAGTTGAATGGCCATGAATTTGACAATATACTGAAACATTCATTTGTTTTCATGGCAGACTCAATTTTGATCTATCAAAGTTCTTTGAAGAATAAGCTTTTACTTTATTTTTTATAAAAAACTGATACAGCTAAAGATGGATTCAGTTTTCACAACACTCTTAGCAAAAATTATTTTTGCATCCTTGGTACGTTTTTTAATAGATAAATTATTTACAATCAGAGATGTTCGTTCAATAAACATATTTAATATAGAAAATATATAGAATATATGAAAAAAAATATTAATGAAAGTAAGTAGAACTAACATAATCATTCATTAAACAGTATAAACCTGTCATGATGAAATTGGCAATATAACTACTGTTTAAAATGATTTCGAAACAAACTGAAGTTAACATTAATATTGAAAAAATTGGAAGCTATAATTGAGGTTCTCAAATTTAAAAAACCTCTCATGGTTTATTAATTGAAGTATACCGGTAGTCCCATCAGAGAGTATTTGCTAGATAACTCGAAAACGCTACAGAAAACCCAATCAATTAATATTGAAGGTAAAGAATGCTCATCAAGGCGATCCGTTGCAAGCTTTGACATGGACCGCCGAACAGAATTTATCCGTTTTTTATATACGGTTGAAAATCCTTAAAAAAAATTGATGGTCTCATCTTATACTTACATATATTTTGTTCTCAAACTGTTCTGCAGGATGAATATCCTCCAAACCCCTTTTTCGTCTTTTGTTTATTTTGTAAAACCAATGGTTCTTTATATTTTCCTGAGAATTGTTCAAATTCTTCTGTGAATTTTCCTTTATGAAGTTATTGTTAGAGCTAGCACCATTCTCTTGAATATTTTCTCCATATGCATATTTCTGTCTGATGGAAAGTAGTGAAGCATCGTTTTTCAAAACCGTATCAAAATCAGTAAATAATTTTGTGTTTTCTGATTGGATCTCAGTAGATTCTGAATTTGTTTGGGTACCTTCTCTATCACTATTCGAGTTCTTGCAGATCTTCCGCTGTTGCATTTGAGAATTGAATATTTTTGACACAGAATCCTGATTGCTTTCAGATTCACGACTTTCACATCGCCCAGATTCTGCCCTCTTTTCATTTTGGATACTTTCTTCATTCTGTTTCAAAAGTATCAAATAAATTTATGAATGATAATAAATAATGAATGAGGGTTTCCAAAAATCATCCTCAAGGATTTTGAATAAGAGTAGTTAGTTTTTGCTAGGTGGCAACTCTTATTTTTTAATGCTAGTTTTGAAAATTTGTGAATCACACAGCAATCAAATTGACGAATCCCTGATTACATGAGCAAGATAATAAAAGAGATCAACATTGAATGGATAATTAATTCAGCGAAGTAAATTTACTCATAATGTATTTGTACGGATTGTTGACCGTCGTTCGTTATGAGTATAGCTTCGTCATAGAGTGGTAAGTATATCCAGAAGTACCTACATTGATTATCTTTATACGAATGATAGTCAGAAATTGCGACATGTAAAATACATTGGAAACCGACCTTGAAAGCTCCACTCAATGTATTATCATTTNTTCGAAGATAATTTTTTATTTAATTCAGAATTTCCTATTCAGAGTTGAAAGTACTATTTGATTGAATTAAGTAGGTAATCAATCTACGAAAAATACTTCATACTTACGATTGATTCAACATCTGATAGTTCCAGAGATCGATTTACTATAAGCTTTATGTAACTACCTCATTCTAAAATGATTGAATTGTTAAAATTGAAGATAAAATGAAATTATTAAAATTCAAAAGGGGTTAGTCTTGGTAACTTGAGGGTAAAGCTTCCAAAAACTTCATTGAAAACCTTATGACAAATGGATTCCTTTTAAAATATTGATCTCAAATTGGAGAGCAAGACACCAAGTTTGAAAGAATCATTCAGTATCAAAAAGATATGTTATTTATAATTAGAAAGAAAAAAGGGAACGATTCGAGAATAACCTATGATTAACTGTACGTAGGTATGAATTTTTCTCAATATAATGGTCAAAATGACATTAACATCAGTGATACAAGAGTTGATCAAAATAATGTCTGTACTGATAATGTTGACATTTCTAAATCACAACAAGGTCATGATATTCCAACACTGCTACAGTTTAAGACAATACGTATATCGAGTATAATATTTCCATTCCATTATGGATTTATAGATAACTGGATGGAGTTTCGTGTGGTCTATACTGGCATGGTTCATAATAAGATGAATATAAATAATACAGATAAATTTCACTATTTGATATCTTCTTTGAATGGAGAAATAATTTTTTTTGCAGGGTATGCAGGTATTTCATATACCAACTATACAAAAGCTTGGAATTTATTGTGTCAAAATTATGAAAATGATAATTTGAGTCGTTTCAATCACATCGAAGGTATCTTTGATCATACTCCGATGAACAAGGAATGNGCGAAGCGCGCGGTACGTTGCCCGAACACCACACCTATTTTGATAAAACAATTTCATTACTTGCACGTATTGTTGAATGCTATATCCATCTATGGTGAATTGGCAAAACAGACTGAATAAATGACAACTAATTTGACAGATGTAGCTTCAGTAAGATGGCCATTATCAAATGCCAAAGTTCGGAAGTCCCTGTTGAAAGACCCTATATATTAGGGAAAAAATACCATTTTAGTAAAAAAATTTGTTAGGCAAACGTACAGTCTCTGATGATGGTCAATCAGAATATTATACAAGAGTTTCATGTCAATAAATTTCCCAGTCAGAAAATTCCGAACAGTCAATAAACGAATGATTAAGTACATTCTGGGAATTACAAAGTTTCGATAATTCCGTAGTTTTAAACTATACTGAAAAACTTTGTGGAGATAGTTTTATGTAGAGTTTGTGTGAATATTCAAATAATCGATTCATAGTAAAAATGCCGCTAAATGAGAAAATTCATTATTAAGATGGCTCTAGACAGATAGTCCTACACAGGTTCAATTCTATAGAAACAAAATTTGAAAGGAATGAACATAAAATATGGATATGAAAAACGTCATCAGAAAATATAGATAACTATACTTATTTACTTCACATGTTAATTTGAAGAATGTTTTTCAAAGACAAAATGTCATATAGTTTTTGATGCAAGTGCCAAAACTACAAGACATTTCTTTGAATGATACATAAAAAACTCGGTTCACTGTCATTTATTCATAATGAGCTCAGATCCTGTCAAAATGAACAGACAACCATCAACTAATGACCACTAATCACACAGTGGGGTAAGTGATCGGCGAGTCCGAGAATCATGTATCCTATTATTAATATTATTATTATAACCATAGAAGGATTAGTGCAAAAAATATTCGAAGATAATTTTTTATTTAATTCAGAATTTCCTATTCAGAGTTGAAAGTACTATTTGATTGAATTAAGTAGGTAATCAATCTACGAAAAATACTTCATACTTACGATTGATTCAACATCTGATAGTTCCAGAGATCGATTTACTGTGTTTTCCATTTGATCTTTGTGTGAACCGAATAATTCATGAATATTGCTCCTCGAATGAATATTAGCATTAGTTGGGCAGATGTGTACATCATCACACATGTTCTTTTGCTGGGAATGATCAATATTCTGATTATCTTTTTGTGAATATTTTTGACCATCAAGTAATAGAGAGTATTTATTCTCATCAAGAAAGTTGAAACAAAGTTTGTTTTTTTCATCGTGAACTTTGCGGATTTCGTCATGACAATTATTAGAAGTGTTTTCAGGGTTCAATTCATTTACAAAACATTCTGGATTTTTAGCATTGTGTGAAGTATTCCACTGATCAGATTTGCCTTCCTCACAAGCACCAAAAAATTCATCATCTACATCAACATCACATTCAAAAAAATCGTCAAATAAATCATTTGAAAATTCACAAGTTTCAGATATGTCACCGCACAATGTATACTTATTTATTGATTTATCGCATTCATTACCGATCTGATCATTATCATAATTGTATTCATTTAAATCTTTATTTGAGTCTTGCTCAATTTTCTCCGTAGTTCTGACTTTCTCCGAAAGCTTATTGTCACCAGCAGTACTCCTTTTCTCATCTTGCAAGCATTTTCCAATTATATCTGCATTACCGGCCATGAAATGAAAACCTACATTTTTATCGGCTAATTTTTGCACAGTACTAGTGATGATTCCATCTTCTGCAGCTTCAGCAGTATGTTTCGAGAATAAATTATTGGGTCGATCATTTATAGCTTTTACTTTTTCGTTCTTTTTCTCGTCAGATTCAGCCTTTTTTGTAGGATTTTCTTTAGTTGGCTGAAATGTGAAATTAAAATTATCACCGATTTACTTGTAAATTTGAACGTACTTTTTTCTTTGTTTTCATATACATATCCAGAAACATTTGAATATAACTGGGAAGTTTAGTTTCTTGTTTTTTTGTTGACTTTCCTAGATTCGTTTTAGATTTCTTATTTGTCTTGGAAAGTAATATATCAGAATTGCAATCAATACCAACTGGAACATATTTAACTGTATAAAAAGTACATAAAATTATGAATATTTTTTACCCCAATTTTCACTAATAAAATGTGCCTCGATTTTTTCCAAATCTGGGGTAACAACCGTTTGAATGGTTTTCACAAACTGAGGATGTTCCATCATGTATGAGTGCCTAAAATAAAACAATCAATAGATTTTTCAACTATTACTTCACTATCTCTTATTAAATTCGTCGATACTTGAAATTCCATGATAATCATCTTCAACAATACTTTATCGTAAGATGTTCACATAACACTTTAAAGACAAAACACTTGTTTCAACTGTACAGCAGCTTCTCAGGAGAGGTACCCCATAATCAACAGGTAAAGCACTATAACAGTTTCCATCCAGACATACTGACTGAGTCCGATTTCTGAGGTAACTTTTCAATAGATTTACAGTCCCTTCACTAAATCCGAGAAATTACATTTTCCTACACAGAATATTGTGGTCTAATATATTGAATGCTTTACTGTAGTCCAAGAATACCATGGCAGTTACTTCATTATATTATTATCAGTTGCTATGAATAAATCTTGGGTGATGTTAACAAGAGCGTACGAATGTATGAAATCCAGATTGAACATTTGTTATTACATTATTAGTTTCCGATATTGATGTCATTTAATGTTTGAGGCATTAACTCCATTTTTTATAAGGAGTTGTTCATATGCATAAGGAAATTTTCTGTGAAGATTCCCACCCTGACGCCTGTCGGTTATAATCCAACGCTCTTCGTGGTATTAGCCATGGGAGTAGTTGTTTTCTGATAGGCGTCAGTCCATTCAACCTACTGTGTAGGTATATTCAAGGCTGGTTGGAACGTTTAAAGTTCATTTCTTTAGATTTGTTTACTGCCAGTCGTCTTCAAGCATAGCCCACTGACTAATAAGAAAATATCACATGTATTTCAAGTGAAAAAAAAACAGGTTGACGGACGGTAATAAACGTTTAGCAGTACCGCTCCGCGATACACAAGTTACACAAAGCAAGAGAGATTTAGTTCGTTCACCTTTTCAATAGATCGAAAGGATTCAGAAGAAGTTATAAGTCTATGTAATTAGTTCTGATTGAACTTGAAATTGATTGCATTCAAAGTGTGTCAAGTTCTTTTAAGATTCCCCATAGCATCTTGTCTCAACGAACATTCTGATTGACGGAAAAAACAGATTCTTTCCGGAATTTGCATTTATAACTGTTTTTTTCACGTTGTTCTCTCGTTTATAATTTGAAGTTGTTCATACCAAATCATCCATTTGATATTGTGAATAAAAACATTTTTCGCAGAGAGCACTATGATTTTTATTCTACAAGACATATTGGTAAGATTCGACACTTATAACGTTTTTGTTTTGTGGCTGTTTCGTTCAGATGTACACTCCTAATTTCAAATTTTGAGCGCTCGGGAGTTGAGAAACATGTATTATCGAAAGAGCCTTGTCGCGTAAACTTGTGTTGCCGATTAAAGTGGAGGAACAAGATTAATCTAGGTTTTAAAGATAAATTCACAGGACATAATTTGCAGTTAATACTTTTTAGCAGGAAAATTAGGTATCACTCGACATTCATTCACTAAAAAAAATTGGGTGATAACACCTCCGCTTAAAAAGTTTTGCAATGGTTTTTGGGTGATGTACTTCGACGAGTTTTTGGATTTATAACACAAGTTATTTCCCTGGCAGTTATGTATTGTCTAACTATAGATGATGAAGTCTCTGCTTCAGAGGGATTGTAGGGACGGATAATCCCAGTTTGTTGGTCTGCCGGGTGTTATACTTGTTGCTAATTATTCCTAAATCCAAAACAAGCACTGTTCTCAAACACCAGAAAGTAACACCCTCCTCAACGCAAATTACACTAACCCAGTTGGCGTCTTCAGGAGATGTAGTAGACTAAATGGCGTCTTCAGGAGATATAGTAGACTAAATCTACTGAAGACTTCAACTTGGTTGGCAAAACGCGCGTCGAGAAAAGTGTCGCAGCTCTGATGTTTGGGAATAGTGCTTGTTTTGGATTTATATGCCAGGGGTTCCAGATCTATCTTTCATGCATCTATTTTTAAATGTATTTTATGGTTATGAATCAAGCATACCGTCTCCTGAACGAATATGAGGATTAGTATATAATGAGTAGCAGATATCTGAGGGTTCTTCTTTGAAGCACAAGCAATGAGTACAAAGGGAATTTTCATAATTTCAATTGTTGCAATTCTATATATTGAAGCCATTATAAATAAGAATTACGGGATTTGTATTTGCATTATGACATTTTTATAGCCCGAGCAAATCTCTATACCCATGTGACTACTTTGATGGAACAAATATTTTTAATCTCCAATTACTATTTCACTCTTTCTCTTCTCTCTCCACCATCGCTCACTAACCCCGCTCTAACTGACCATGTTGAGACAAAATTGCGATATTGAACTATAGTGTATGATCTAACTTTACTTTTTTGTAGGTGTTTTTATATTCACATTTTATATTTCTATACTTACATTTGTATGTACTTTTAAACATTGCAAAAGCTTCAGAACTGAGTGTAATGTTTGCTACAAAAATGTTGTATGCATCTGTAAACAGATTCAGGCTTGCCCCTATAACTTTTTTGTTTATTCTGGTATCAAAAAGAATTTTGGTGGTTCAAATGATGTCAGAAGAAGTACTGATCACGTTTACATATAATCTTAGGTGACAATTTCTGACCATATATTCAGTTTGAGTTGTCATATCATCCATGACCAAAATAATATTGTCTTCTAACTCCTCTAACATATAACTGAAAACTGTTATGGTAGTATTATCCACAAATAGTAATACTATCATTTCTTATACCGGGTGATTCTCTAAGGTGGCTCACCCCTATAACCTTTTTATCATTGGAGATAGAAAAACGAAATTTGAGGGTTGTGTATTACAGTTCCATTTACATTTTTTTCCATCGAGAATGACATTCTGAATCCAATAATACTTCGCTTGTCTATTTTTGACAAAAAACATCATTTTTATTCCAATTTTAATTTTTTTATCTAAAATGCCATGGATCGTGTAAACCGCTTCATTCTTGATCAAGTAACGTAGGAAAACTACCACTTTGACGCTTATGACTTCACAGTCGTTTTAAGAATTATTTCACAGTCGAAAATATAAATTTTTCCAGTTTACTTGATTTTTTTAAATGGAACGGAAGTGGCTTGTCGGATTTAGATCATTTTCTTTTTTATGAAAATGGAAAAGTAGAAAGCCAAAACCGTTAGAACCCCGGTTGTTACAACAGATGTTATATGATTGTGAAAATGTGGTCAATGATTTGACTTCCACGTAGATCATGAAATCAAATCAAATGTTTATCAAGGATCACAAATCAAATTAAATGAATAGAATGGCTGTATGTAATGAAGTGCCTAATCCCAAAAGGCGTTGCATTTAAAATTCCAAAGTTGGGGTAAATTTTTTAAAATCAGATTAAAAGTCATTTTATTTTTTTTTTAGAATCATTAGACGTTCGGTACTGTGAACATGAAATATATTTGTATATCTAACTGAATGTGATACAAGAAGTTTGAAAAGGTAGATTTCATTAATTTCAGTTATTCCCTGGGAATATAAATACCACCAATAGTTAATCCCTTATTATGGCTTCAAGTCAAACGGCATACAATGAGGATCAAAATTTTCTCAAGAATAAAGTACCTTATTCTCGAATAGTACAATTTCCTTGCGGGCTGGTTTATCAACTTTTATTGATAGGTATTTTAAATAATAGTTTTGGCAGTTCTTTTCATTTCATTTGTTCAAATAATATCTGTGACCCATTGTACATCCTTCCAAGGAGTTGTCCTCCTAGGTCATCGTCCTTCCTGTCCTTTCCAGGAAGGTTGACAGGTCTCTGGGAGACATCTCCTTTATATCGGCAGGTGTAGGCCAAGACTGGCCGAAGACAAACTCTCTTATTGACGATAACTCCGGACATTCGCATAGGACACGCCTGACAGTTTCACCTTCCTGTTCACACATCCTGGCTAGTTCCGCAATTGTTGAAGTCATCAGGCCGTAGGTGCCACTGGGTCCTAAAATTCTTAGTCAGCAGCTTCCTTGGCTAAAGAGTCGTCAATGCGATTACCTTTACTCCTGTCGTGCCCTTTAATCCACCTCAGGATAATGTTATTATCTACCAAGGATTTGGTTAAATCTTGATGACACTCTAGTACTAGCCCTGAGGTAACATATTGTCCGTTCAAGGCTAATAGGGCTTGTCTGTTATCGGCGCAGATTTGTTATGTTTTTGCCAAAAATTCCTTTCCTGGTTATTTCTTTTGTGGCGATTGAGATGTTTGAACCACGCTGGTATTTTTTCCCATTCCCAACCTTATGTTCAAATAATAAAAATGCACTTGAATAATTTAATTTCTTTCAACTCACCAATTCAATATCCCGAGGATTTGCCTCCAAAATTTTGTCAAAAGTCGTTTTTCCTGAATTAGCTAGTTGTGTAGATGAAACACTAATAATAAAAATGCACTTGAATAATTTAATTTCTTTCAACTCACCAATTCAATATCCCGAGGATTTGACTCCAAAATTTTGTCAAAAGTCGTTTTTCCTGAATTAGCTAGTTGTGTAGATGAAACACTACCAATACCACTCAATTGTTTGGATACAAACAGAGAATTTTCCCAAAGTTTAGCCTGAAAACATTTTCCTAAAATGATCGAGTTCAATAGGGCACTATAGAAATATTTTCCTTTGGTTGCTAAATACTCAATCAAACCTACAAGAAATATTTTCTGTATTTTATATCGAGCGCACATAATATTACCTACATTTAACTATTCGACTTCCACTTCTCATAATCGTAAAAGAGTCACTTATAATTGAGTGATCTGAAATATCTAAATTACCAAGGACTGCTTGAATTATGCTGAAAAAAAAAGATAATTGTATTAGTGACTATAACTGAATATAATGAGTAATTGTATTACTTCTCTAGTTCACTTTTGTGTTTTACACTTAATTCAAATTCAATTATGTGAAATATCTTTTTAACAGACTTAATGTGCTACTGAAATTTATCTAATTATTTTACACAAGTGAGGCTGGTGCAACTCATTCCTAGATTGTATATAACTACTTGTATATAACTATCTTAATAGTAAAGTTAAATCAAGTGGTATATAATATTACCATTGGTAAACATGATTTCATTACCAATGTTCATGATTATCTGAGAGAAAAATGAGTTACGAAAAATAGAATATAAATATACACACCAGTTAACTTTCATATCACTCGATTTTATTCTTCCATTCAGTGGAAATCGTATAGTGTCTTTGGAAGAGTTTTTATTCAGTAAGTTCAGTGTCTTTTTATCATTTACTCTGAGGCACAAATCAGAAAATTCATGACATTTTGATATGAGCGCTAATATTTGAATTAAAATTTCACTTCCGCTGAGCTGAAAAAATAAATTATAACTTTCAAAAATGTATTCATAAGTGTAAGACGGTAGTAACACTATCAAAATCATTCACAATTCTATTTTTTTCTATTTGAAAAAAGTTAAAAGGGATTCAAATAATCACAAATTATGTATAAATTTCATAAACTACATCGTACGATTTGATCTCCACAAACTTTATTTGAAAAATATATCACGAAATGTTTCGCTAACACAGTAGCTTTATCAACAGTGATTTGAGTATTACAAGTTGCTTTTTACACCAATATTTATATACTACAGATAACCATAATTGAGACTACCTCAAAAAAATAACCTAAACCTCTACCTGAAGTACCTCTTCAATTATGATCTGTGAAGCATATTATCTTCTTCATCAATAATAATTCTTTCTCGGTTTTTCTTAGAAAACAAGTTCAATAATGGTGATCTATTCAAATCCAGTTGGTCATTCATTAGAATGTTTGAATTTTTGAGGAAACGAGATTAAAATTGCATATAGAACAAGTAATACGTTGGTAAAGTTAGTTAAAAATAATGAAGATAAAACATCCAGGAGTATATAAATTAAAGTGTGGAACGTGTCCTAAGGTCTATATTGGTCAAACTGGCAGAACATTTAGGAATCGAATCCAGGAACGTCATATGAGCTATGTAAATAAGGAAACAAGTTCAACATATTCAAATAATCATTTAGAAGAAAATCATATCTTCAACAAAGAGTTCGAAATTTTACACATAGAAAATAAAGGTTTGAAACAGAATCACTTGGAAGCAATTGAAATTAATAAACCTAAAACCTGAGAATCATAAATTCTTACCTGTGTAAATAGTTTCATGGTTTCAAAAGCAACATAATATTTAGCCATAAGCTCTCCAGTCTTTGTGGGAGTTAATATTATATTCTGATTCATAATAACCATTCCAGCACTTATCAGTTTGTTCAAATCAATCTGGCACATTTCTACAATCAATCAAAAAAGCAGTATATTTTATTATCTTAACTGAAGTATAATAAAAGACCAAATTAGTTTCATGCCAACTTTTAGGAAGGATAGTGGTTTGGTATGAATCGCATGGGAAAAAGCATAATAGACTTAATTCATATAGAGATAATCAAACGAGATAATTTTAAAGGGAAATTTGCTTGCGAATCACTATCACAATTATATTCAATAAATGAGGTTTTTATGATATAGAAGAATGGTACTAGGTAGAAGAATGACACATAATAGGTAGAAATTGGAGTTGAATTAAGCACGATTTTGCAAGGAACTGTACGACTTTATAGGTCAGTATAAGGACACTATTGAGTAAATACATTTCAGGATTTGAATGGAATACGATGAAATAGGATGGAATAGGAGAAATCACAGTGGTGAAAAATATTTCAAAAATTGTTTACCCAGTAGTATGATGATGAAACTAGATTTGGTTCCAAGAAATAGTATTCTTCCAATTACCTCTAATTCTCAGAAACAATGTTAAAAAGAAATTCATCACTACATCATCGGGCGGAACCTATATACCCTAAAAAATTTATATGATTTGAAGATCTACATTTACAAGGTCTTATGAAAATGCATTCGCAATAGTTTCTGGCTGAGATCCTAATTCAAATTACCGTTCCAGTATCTCATTTCAAATTTATATCCAAAGAATGAACTGTCAATATCTCCTCTCTCTAGAAATTGAAAATATGTATAACGGTCCATTATGTTACTAAGAGATATAAACATTCATCTCTGGCATTTGATCTGTTGAAACAATCTACGAATAGAAAAGCTAGAAAATCCAACAGTCCTAAAACAGTGAAACTAATATGAATTATGTAGTTATACAGGGCTATTCAAATTCGTTTCTGTACATGGGGATCTCGTAAACGATAAGATATAGAGTTTCGGTTAAATAGTGGCAAAGTTGTGTATTTTAGACACCTATTCAATGAATCTTTTGGTTCTGGAGATATACAGAAAAAAACCAAAAAATCACAAATTATTTTTTTGCCTAAATCTTCTTTATTCGCAGACATATTGAAAATCTGTCCACATTTTGCTATCGACACTTGATGTGGGCTCTCAGAATATATCTTTTATATAGGGTGTCATCTGACTTGGGCCACCCCCATCTTTGAATTTTTAAATACGGAAGAAGCATAAAAATGTCCCTAGA